TAAATACAATATAATATAATGTTATCTATTGATATATCTATATCTCTACATATATATATAAAAAGCAAAATGTTCCATCACCGCCAACCGAAACTAATTTTTCAAAAAAATGCTCTTAATAGAGACAACTCTGACTGCCTGTATGAAATATAAGCAAATCAATCAAGATGGACAACAAGTACATTATAATTATCCACACTTTCCCAAATATTATGTTGCAATTGATTTGATTTCTATTTAAATTAATTAATTTTGATTTGATTTTTTTAGTTTTAGTTTCACTGTAAAGACCAAAGTTTTAATTATTATTTTTATTATTTTTAATTAACTTTTAATAATAATTAAAACTTTGGTCTTTACAGTGAAACTAAAACTAAAAAAATCAAATCAAAATTAATTAATTTAAATAGAAATCAAATCAATTGCAACATAATATTTGGGAAAGTGTGGATAATTATAATGTACTTGTTGTCCATCTTGATTGATTTGCTTATATTTCATACAGGCAGTCAGAGTTGTCTCTATTAAGAGCATTTTTTTGAAAAATTAGTTTCGGTTGGCGGTGATGGAACATTTTGCTTTTTATATATATATATGTAGAGATATAGATATATCAATAGATAACATTATATTATATTGTATTTATAGGCATTTTTATGCATGAAAAACAGTTAGAAAGGTAAAAAAAACAGTTTTTTTTTGGGAGTCATAAGCAGATTAATCCATTTAATATCATTTCTTATAGGAAAATTTGTTTTGGTTTTAGAATAAATCATTTTTCAAATTACTTTTAGGAATGAATTAAGTTCGAAAACCAAGATTTGACTGTATTCTCTTTCTACTTGTAAACACCTCACATCCTCAGTCTAAGGGCAGGTGTTAAAGAACTGGCTTAAAAATTTTAGAAAATAATAAATAAATAAATGCAATTTAAATTGAACTGTTTATCATTTTTAATTTTCATTTTAATAATTTTATGTATGTAACAAAAAAATTTATTTCTGATAAAATTGTTTCCACTTCATTAATAAATTTATAAAATTTGTAAAATTTAAGGAGCATTTTAATAAATTTATATTTTTGTAGCAGATTACACTATTGTCAATAAAGATGTATGTACCAGTGTTCTATTGTTTTCTTTGTTAATCAAACTTTTTTGACTCTGAATAGACCATAATATTGATAACAGAAATGGAACATAGAACATACATTTTTATAAGTATCATCTGAAAATCACTAATATAACCATCTAGGAAAGGCAAGAAAAGGGAGTCGTCTTCTAATTTCAAAACATGTATTTTAGCCCCTGAAATATTTTAACTGTAAGAAAAATCTTTACCAAGTTCTATACCCTTAAGGTATAGAACTTGGTAAAGATTTTTCACACTTCTATACCCTTAAGGTATAGAACTTGAATTGTGAAAAATCTTTTAACAATTTATTGATTCTGAAAAATCTTTAATTAAAAATTAAGTGTTAATTAAAAAATTTAATCTGTATATTAACTGTATACAAACTTCCAGTTTGGACCAGAAGTCACATTATTTTAATTTGAAAGTTTTCCTCTAAACAGAATTAGACAGATGACTGCCATGACTCCATTGTTAACAGGAAAAGTATGATTTACAGGGGCAAGACACTACTGAACTTAAGTGCATTGTGACAAAAAATTGCAGCCTAGCATTGTGACGCTGTCACAATAAATAATTGCTTGTTTAATAATATAAATTAATTTTCTTCAGAAAAAGAAAAAGAAATTGAATTATCAACAAATAAGAGTTTAGAAATAAAGTTTAAAAATACTTTAAATAATTTATCTAAATTTATGAATATAAATTGAAAAATCTATACTAATATAATAAAGAGGTAATGTTTGTATGTATGTTAGTTTGTATGCAGCAGGTAATCTCCAAAACTACTCATCCGATTTCAAAAATTTTTTCACCAATATTTAGAATGGAACTTCAGGATGGACATAGGCTGTATATTATTCCGTTAAACATGGGGGATGGACAGTTCTTTACGGTAAGCCTTACGGA